CCCTGAAAGTTAATCGATACACGCTCCGCCCTCATCCTTCCACCCCGCCTCCCTCCAACTATTTCCAAAAGTTGCAGTGAGGACGAACCAGATGTTTTTTTTGGATTTGCGATAGGAGTCGAGACTATTGCGACCACACGCGCATTTTAGTGCTAGAAGTCAATATTTTGACTGCTGGATTGGGCCTCGGAGCCGGATCAACACTACCTGAGTCCAGCAACGCCTGAACACAACTCTGACTGTGAGCACCCACCCGCCTGTGAACGCCACATTGCAAGTGAACACCACTACTGACAAGCAGCTCAAGTACGCAGAGCACAATATCAGTAGACCGAAAGTTGATCGATGCAAGCTCCTCCCTCATCCTTCCCCCCCCGCCTCCCTCCCACTTGTCCGACAAGTTGCAGCGAGGGTCAACCGGACAAATTTATATGGGATTTGCGATAGGACTCGAGGCTATTGCGATCCCACGCGCATTCCCTGCTAGAAGGCCGTGTTTTGGCTGCTGGATCGGGCCTCGGAGCCGGGGTCAAACCAAAAACAAAAACACGACTTGGCAAACAAACGGAAGAAGAAGAAGAAACAACTATTCAAAACATGTGGTTTTCCTATCGGATCCAGGGCCGACCGAGCGACACAAACAAAAAGTAGGCCAGACGGGCGGTTTGGCTCCTAAATGTCCGTGTTTGGGGGTGACAGCAGTATATCCCATATGTCTGGGTGGCGTTGTCTCTCCCAGGCACGTCCCCTTCCCGAGGGGGGGGGGGAAGTGCTGCCCCGGGGGCCTCTCCTTGCTGAAGGAAGAGCGGTCGGCCAGACCGAGACGCGGCCAAGCGTGGCTGGCGGCGAGGAGAGAACACATATAGTCGTGATCGTTGTCGTGGTCGTCGTCGTGGTCGTGGCCGTCGTTGTCCGGAACGGAGCACACGCCATTTTGCAGGGGATGTCCCGCGCGATTCTTTAGTTTGGGACCTGTTTTGGGCCAGGTTTGAAGCGTATTTTCAAGGACGTCTCAAGCGAAACGCTCGTTTTCCAAATGTTCGGAGCCGGCTTCTATTGTGTGGAACCGTTTCAGAACCGTCGAGAAAGCCATTTTGGCGAGGACGTCCCACACGGTTTGGCGTTTTCGAAGAGCCATCCCACTGTGTGGAACCAGGTTCCAAGTGTATTGGAGGGAAGTCTCAAGCGAAGTGCTCGTTTTCTAATTGTTTGGAATCGATTTCTATTGTTTCGAACCGTCAGTCAAGCAAATTTTGCGGGGATGTCCCACGCGGTTTGCCGTATTCGAACTGCCATCCTTTTGTTTCGAACCAGGTCTGACGCCTGATTCTGGAGGAAGTCCCACGCGAAACGTTTTGTTTTGTTTCGAACTGGATCCTATTGTTTCGAACAGAGTTCGAAGCGTCCAAATGACAATTTTTGTAGGGATGTGTCACGCGGTTGGCTGTTTTCGAACCGCCATCCCGTTTAGCTCAATGAAATTTTCATTGAGGTACAGATTGCCCCCCGCCCCGGTTGCAAAACACTTCCCTCGTAACATTGTACCAGGCTCAACGTTCTTAGCGGGGCGATTAGCGACGTGTGCTCGCATCGCGGACGCAGGATTCACTTTTGCCGACCCGTCAAAATGGGGCAATCACTCATCACGGCACAGAAGGCTTAGGGTGTTAGGCTTTGGGTGTTAGGGTGTTAGGACTTAGTGCTTAGGGCTTAGGGCTTGAGAAGGCGATGTTCAGATCAGCAGATGTGCACCCCATTGTATTTTCTTGCTGGGGATCGGGAACGGCACCGATTTCCATCGTGAAAGATTCAGACTGGGGTGCGTAGACAAGCGTATGGTTTGCATAGGACCATGAAGGTTAAAGGGCTTGAGTAGGCGACGTTGAGATCAGCAGACGTGCGCCGCATTGCATTTTTTGAAAGGACCGTGGGCGGCACGAACTTCCATCGTGAAAGGCTTAGACGGGGGCGCGCAGAAAAACATGTAGATTGCATTCGATCGTCGAAGTTGAAGCTTTGCGAAGGCGATGTTGAGATCAGCAGATGTGCGTCGCATATTTTTTCGCAGAGTATCGTGGGCGGCATGAATCTCCATCGTGAGAGGTTTCAATTGGTGTGCAGAACGACGTCGGCGACGACTACTACGTCGACGATGACGACAACGAGAGAGTTGAAGTATGTTTCTATAACCTCACTTGATATGCTATCGTCTAGGCAGTCTTGTTCATTTGACTGGCTGCGATCTTGCTTGATTCGTTCGATCCTGGTTGTGCGCGCCGCTTCACTATAAGAGATGTTTATTGGGAGATGCTTTATGGAGTTTAACAGGCTTACTGGGGCATCTTTGGGGCCACCGTGGGCCGCCTCGGTGTCATCACAGGACGTCTTGGGGTTACCGGCGTCGTCGCGTCGTCGACGTCCAAGATGTCGGCGCCGACGTCAAGGTCGTCGACGACGACGACGATGATGATGATGATGACGACGACGACAACGATGATGACGACGACGACGACGACTACAGCGACGCACTACACCCTTCTTCCCTATGATGATGATGATGATGATGATGATGATGATGATGATGATGATGATGATGATGATGATGATGATGATGATGATGATGATGATGATGATGATGATGATGATGATGATGATGATGATGCCGACGCCGATTCCGTATTCTGCTGAGAAAGCTATGTCAGGAGAGTCGCCAAGGAACCCGCCAGGAGCGGCCGGGCCCGCGGCCCAGGGCGGCGGGGTGCGCCGAGCGCCCCCAGCCCCGCAGGAGCAAGAACGGGCCATCTTTGCATCTGGGGCACCGCCCAGAGGACCCCGCCCGCGGCGGCACCTGATCGAGCATGGCTTGGATGAGTTGTGAGAGTGGCATCGGATCGGGAGGGTCGAAGGCCTGAGAAGACGAGGTCAAGATCAGCAGACGTGCGCCGCGTCGGATTTCCTTCACCCCTCCTGCGCGGGGTTCTCCTTTTGGAGGGTCGCGACCTCCTCCTCCCGCCCCTCTCCTCCTGTCTCCCCCTACTTGCCTGCTACCCTGCCTCCTACCTCGCCGTCCTGCCTGGGGGCTCGCTGGGAGGCTGCGTACTTCAGGGCTGTCGCCACGTTCGAGGGCTGCTGACGATCCACTGGAGTGATGCTTTACGCAGACCTAGGTTATAACACTCGCCAGCGCTGGGGGGTTGCGAACTGCGAAAGCGCCGCCGCTTTCGCGGATTGCTCGGGGGTCCAGCGGATGGACGCGCCAAACAGACTTAGACGCGACCTCGCCGTCCTTGGGGGCCGCGAACTGCGAAGCTGTCGCCACGTTCGAGGTCAGCGGGGGAGCTAACGGAGTGACGCCTTATGCCAATTTAGATTAGGCCTCGCCATCCGGGGGGGGGGGCTGCGAACAGCGAAGCTGTCGACACTTCACTTTCGAGGGCTGATAGAAAGGGGTCCAGCGGAGTGACGCCAATAACGCAAACGTAGACAAGACCTCGCCATCCTCGGTGGGTTGCGAACTGCGAAACTGTCGCCACTTTCGAAGGCAGCTGGGGATCCAGCGGAGTGACGCCTTACGCAGGCTTGTACTAAACTTCACCATCCCTGGGGGGTTTGCGAATAGCAAAACTGTCGCTACTTTCGGAGGTTGCTGGGGGTCCAGCGGACTGGCGCTTTACCCAGATTCAAGTTCGACCTCGCCATCCGTGTGGTGTGTGTGCAAAAAGGTGTCGCCGCTTTCGCAGGCTACTGTGGGTCCAGTGGAGTGGCGTCGTGCTCAGATTCGAAGTCGACCTCGCCATCTCGGGGGGCTGCGCCCTGCGAGTGTGTCGCCACTTTCAAGGGTTGCTGGGGGGCCCAGCGGAGTGACGTCTCATGCAGAGTTAGATTTCACCTTGTCATCTCTCGGGGGCTGCGAACTGCGAAACTGTCGCCACGTTCGAGGGGTGGTGGGGGGCTGTTGGAGGGATCAGCGGAGTCACCTCCTGCGCAGATTGAGATTCGACCTCGCCATCCGTGGGGGGCTGCGAACTGCGAACATCTCGTCACTTCAGATTCGCCCTTGCCATCCTTGGGGGGTTGCCAATGGTCAAGCCGGCGCCATATTCGAGGGCTGCTGGGGGAGTGACGTCTTACACAGATTCATATTCGGCCTCGCCATCCCTGGGGGGCCTGCGCCCCGCGAAAATGTCGCCAGTTTCGAGGGCTGCGGGGGGTTCCAGCGGAGTGACGTCGTATTGAGATTCGTATTTGACCTCACCATCTTTCGGGTGTTGCGAACTACGAAACTGTCAGGATGTGGCGTTCGGGCCAGGGTGCTACGCTCAGGGTGGTAGGGTTCGGTTTAGGGCGGTCGGGTCCGGAGTAGGGTGTTCGGGCTAGGTAGGGGTAAGGTGTGAGGCATCGTGTGTTAGGGAAGGGCGGTCAGGCTCGGGATAGGATGTCAAGGTTCGGGCACAAGGCTCAGGGCCTAGGGCGGTGCGGTTCGGGTCAGGGTGTTAAGGCTTAGGTTGTTAAGTTTAGGGTGTCAAATGATTAGGGTTAGGGTGTTCGGATGAAGGTGTTAGGGTTAGGGTGTCAGGGTTAGGGTGGTATGGCTAGGGTGTTAGGGGAAGGGTTATAACGGTAGGTTTAGTAGGTAGGTTTCCAGAGCTAGGGGGGCGGCGTGGCCAAGTGGGCGGAGGGGGGGGGGTCCGATTTGCGAGTTTAACCCCGCCCCCCTTGCGAAAGGGATGGGGGGGAGTCCTGGACGACGGATCGGGAAGAGGGGGGGGGTCCCGGGACGACAAACCAGGGAAAGGGGGGGAGGGTCGGGGGGTCCCGGACGGTCCCGAACCCCCCTCCGTTCTCTTTCTGGGGCATCCGCCGTCATGGACTTGGGGCGTTCTCCGGGGATGTATCGGGCGGCTGGTGCCTCCAAGGTATCCAAACCGTGCGGTGACGGATTATGCGGTGAGGTCGCCGCGAGGTCTGTCACCGTCCCGTTGTGGGACCGCCGAAGTGAGGTTCAAGCTGGTGCTGTCGGCCGCGCTGTGGCTGAACCCGAACCTGCTCGTCCTGGACGAGCCCGCCAGCTGCCTGGAGCGGTGCAGCCTCGAGGCCCTCGCGGCCGCGATCGAGGACTACAAGGGCGGCGTGCTGATCACCTCTCACAGCAAGGCCCCAGGGGCTCCCTCCTCTCTGGATGATGATGATGATGATGCTGATGCTGATGATCATGATCATGACGATGATGATGACGGTGATTCTGATTCTGATGATGATGGTGGTGATGATGGTGATGATGATGATGATATGCTGCTGATGGTGAGGAGGATGACCATGAGGATGATGAGGCTTATGCTGATGACCAGGATGAGTATGAGCCTGACGAGGCATATGAGGATGGTTACCATGGTGGTGATGGGGGTGATAATGGTGGCGACGATTGTACTGATGACAACGATGGTGATGTCGACGATTAGGTTGAACATGATGATGCTGATCCTGATGTTGATGTTGATGTTGATGATTGATGCTGCTGCTGATGATGATGCTGCTGCTGATGCTCATGATGATGACGGTTCTGATGTTGGTGATGGTCAGGACGATGGTGATGCCGCCGATGCTGATGATGATGATGATGATGATGATGATGATGATGATGCTGATGATGATGATGATGATGAGGAGGGATACTAGTATGATGAGGAATACAGTTATGATTAGGACGATGGTGCTGCCGATGATGACGATGATGATGACGATGATGATGAACGTACTGATCATGACGATGGTTGTGATGATGATGATTACGCTGGCGATGCTGCAGATGATTCTGGTGTTGATGATGATGCTGCTGATGATGATGATGATGATGATGGTGGTGCTGGGTTTGGTCTGAAGGTTGATGATGGTCAAGAGGGTGATTACGAGGAGGATGATGATGAGGGCCGTGACGCTGACGAAGATTAGTGTCGTGGTGGTGAGTATCATGATGATCATGGTGATGCCACTGTTTACGACGCCAATGATGATAATGATGACGATGAAGCTGACGACGACGATCATGAAGACGATGATGATGGTGATTCTGATGATGTTGCGGACGATGGTGATGATGATGCTGGTGATGGTGACGGTGATGGTGATGGTGTCGATCATTATGATGCGGATGATGGTGTTTATGGTGATGATTACGATGATGATTTTGATGATGATTCTGATAATGACGATTGTAATGATTATGATCATGCTGCTGATGGCGAGGATCGTTATGATGGTGATGGTCATGATGATGCTGATTGTGGTAGCGATGGCGATGGTGAGGGTGGTGATGGTGGTGGTGATGATGATGATGATGATGATGACGGTGATGATGAAGAAGAACAAGCATGATGACGATGATGACGATGATGATGATGTTGATGATGATGATGATGATGATGATGATGATGATGATGATGATGATGATGATGATGATGATGATGACGATGACGATAATGAGGATGACGGCGAGTAGTACAGTGATGACAATGACGCATATTGGCACGACGAGGGTTACTATTCCCATGATGACGACGAGGGTGAACATGGTGCTGATGGTGACAGTGGTTTGTCATGCTGTTGGCGGTGACGATGATAATGATGATGACGACGACGATGCGTATTCATGCGTTGATGCTCGCGATTGCGCTGAGAGTGCCGACGACGATCATGGTAAGGATGACAGCGGCGATTCCGATGAGGATGATGATGATGCTGATGATGATGCTGATGCTCATGATGATGATGTTGGCGATGCTGATGATGCTGATGAGGATGAGGTTGTTGATGATGACGATGCTGATGATGATGATGATGATGATGATGACGATGATGATGATGATGATGATGATGCCGATACGGATGTGAATGATGCTGTTGATGATACGTATGCTGAAGGAGATGAGGAAGCTGGCGATGATCTGGCGACAGATGACGATTATATTGTTGTTCTTTAGGCTGATTCTGGCCAGGATGAGGAGGAGACAGAGAATGAGGAGGGACAAGAGCAGAAGGAAGAGGGATGGGGGAGGACGGGGGGAGGAGTAGAAGAAGGAGGGAGGTGGCTGACGAGTGAGGAGGAGGAGGGAACATGGATGCTGATGATGCTGATGTTGAGGATGATGATGGTGATGATGATGATGATGATGATGATGATTATGAAGAGGATTCTGATGGTGCTGCTGCTGATGATGAGGAGGAGGAGAATACGGATGATCATGCTGCTGATGCGGATGCCGCTGATGATGATGCTGGTGATGATGCGGATGCCTGTGATGATGATGGTGATGATGATGATGATGATGCTGATGATGATGATTATTATGAAGATACTGACGATGCCGATGTTTAGGATGATGATGAGGCTGATGATGATGCTGCTGATGATGATGACGATGATACTGATGATGATGATGATGCTCATGCTGATACTGATATTGCTGATGATGGCGCTGCTGCTGATGATACTGATGCTGATGATGATGTTGATGCTACTGATGATCATTATGAGGTTGCTGCTGCTGCTGCTAATGCTGAGGATGGTGCTGATGCTGACGATTATGCTGCTGATGATGATGCTGATGATGCTGCTGCTGCTGATGATGATGCTGATGATGATGATGATGATGATGATGATGATGATGATGATGATAGGAGGAGGAGGAGAAGAAGGAGGAGGAAGAAGAGGAGGAGGCGGAGGATCAGGAGGACGAGGAGGTGAGAGGAGAGAGGCTGCGAGGGAGGAGGATAGGCGGAGGAGGACGAGGAGGAGGAGAGAGGGAGGAGGAAAAGGAAGATAGGAGAGGAGGAGTGAGGAGGAGGGGAGCAGGAGGGGAGAGAGGAGGAGGATGGGAGCAGGAGATACTGGAGGAAAGCAGGAGGGGGAGGAGGAGGAGGAGGAGGGAGGTGAGAGGAGGGAAGAGGAGGGAGGAGGAGGCGAACGATGAGGAGGAGGAGGAGGACGAGGATGAGGATGATGATGCTGATGATGCTGATGATGATGCTGATGATGATGCTGCTGATGATGATGATGATGATGATGCTGATGCTGATGATGATGAGGATGATGATGATGAGGCGGAGGAGGAGGATGAGGAGGAGGAGGAGGATGACGGAGGAGGAGGAGGAGGAGGAAGAGGTGGAGGGAGGGACGGAGGGAGGATGGGAGGAAGGGAGGGAGGGATGCTGCTGCTGATGATGACGATGCTTCTGCTGCTGATGATGAGGATGCTGATGCTGATGATGATTATGCTGATGACGATGCTGATGATGATGTTGAGGATAAATATGATGATGATGCTGTTGATGATGATGCTGTTGATGATGGTAAGACTGATGCTGCTGATGCTGATGAGCTTGATGCTGATACGGAAGCTGCAGTTGATGATGATGACGACGATGATGACGGTGAGTATGTCGATGTTGATGATGCTGATCATGATGGCGATGATGACTATGTCGCTGATGATGATACTTATGCTGAGGATTGTGGTGATGCTGATGATGATCTTGGTGATGATGCTGGCCAATATGATACTCACGATGATTATAATGCTGCTGATGATGATATTTATATATAGGTTGTCGATGATGATGCTGTTGAGGCTGGTGATGCTGCTGCTAATGATGATGAGGCGGTTGATGATGAGGCTGATGCTGGTGATGCTGATGATGAATATGGACATGCCGACGGTGACGATGATTATTATGATGATGCCGATGCTGATGATGCTGATGCTGAGGATGCTGCTGATACTGCGGCTGCTGATGATATCGATGATGCGGCTGATGATGAAGATGATGATGCTGATGATGATAGTGCTGCTGCTGATGATGCTGATGATGACGATGATGATGGTGGTGGTGGTGGTGATGATGATGCTGATGCTGCTGCTGCTGCTGCCGATGATGATGATGATGATGACGATGATGATGCTGATGATGATGATGATGATGATGATGATGATGATGATGCTGATGACGATGCTGATGATGGTGATGGTGTTGTTGGTGGTGGTGGTGGGGGTGATGATGATGGCCAGGAGGAGGATGAGCATGAGGGGCAGCATGAGGAGGAGGAGGAGGAGGAGGAGGAGGAGCAGGAGCAGGAGAAGCAGGAGGAGGAGGGCCAGGAGGAGCAGGAGGAGCAGGAGGAGGGAGGAGACGGAGGATGAGGAGGAGGTGGATGAGGAGCTGGAGGAGGAATACGAAGAAGCATACTACACATACTGGGAATCCGACTGATATTCCAGTGCCTTTTTTAATACAGGCTCTGCGTGCGGATCATGTACTAACATGCAGGGATTTAGTTTTCAAAAAGCGATGATTGCACGCATAAGTTTATACATAAAACTCCCATGCAATAAAACAACTGCCTTGCTAATGCTAATAATATGGGGATGACTTCTAATAACGCTGATCAGCTATGTGGACGACGCATACTAATTAAATTAATAAGAATACCAATGCTACTACTGAGGCCAATAAAACGATCAATCAGACTCTTGATAACATATATAAGACGTAGACGTATACTAATCAAACTATGAAGAAGAAGAAGAAGAAAATGAGGAAGAGGAGGAGACGGAGGAGGAGGAGGAGGAGGAGGAGGGGAAGGAGTAGGAGGAGGAACAGAAAGAGGAGAAAGAGGAGGGGGCGGAAGAGGAGGAGGAGGAGGGAGGAGGAGGAGGAGAAGGAGGAGGCAGAGGTGGAGGAGGAGGAGGAGGAGGGACAAGGGAAGAGGGAGGAGGGAGGAGGGAGGAGGGAGGAGGGTGGTTGTTGATTCGACGCGCGGCTTGGCTGTGTGCGTGCTCGAACAGTGCAGCTAGCCTTGTGGGTGGCGCTGAGGACCAGTCCGCCACTCTCGCCATCACAAGACTAACTCCCAAAGGTGAAAAAGTTGGAGCCCGTTCCCCCACGGGCACATCTCTGAAAAGCGAGCCCCGGAGAACGCCCTCGGCACTCCACAGGGCCCGTCGAGCATGCTCAGCTCTAGCTCGCTCGGCGCGGCGAGCCTTGGCTGCCGCTCGGTTGGCCTCGATGCGGGCCCTCTGGGCCTCGCTCAAGGCTGGAGGAGGAGGAGGAGAAGGAGGGGTGAACCACAGACGGAGACGTCGACGACGTTGGAGGGACGGGAGGCGAGGAGGGAGATGGAGGGCCAAACTGGCCAATGCCAAGATATACAGCCGCCTCTTGCTCGTCTGCTGCGTCCGCAGCGGCAGTCTGGGACGCTATGTATTGTTGCTCGTCCTCTGTGTCAGCAGAGGGCTCTTGTTCCTCACAGGGGTCAGACGCAAGTTCTGTTTGAAACCGATGTCTTTCAGGATCAACTCTGCGCTTGCCCCGACTGGGGCGGGCACCAAAGCCCGTGGGAAGCGTACATCGGATGTCATCCTCGCTGTTCAGCGGGGCATAGACATCCATCAAGGCCTGTAGCACGGCTGGCTGCTCAGACTCGAAAACGTAGCCGGCGACGTCCGACGACACAAACTGGGCCACCGAAGAGCAAATCGACCGAGCGAGAGCCTCACAGAGGCCCGTCGGGTAAACCTTCTTGCATGCCGTGCGAAACTGCTGATCCTCGTGGCGTTTGCCAAGCAGGGTCATGTGAGAACGTCTGTCATGACTGCATCGACCACCTCCTGGGGTACTACAGAGATGACTGGGGAGATCTGGCATGCGGATCCCGAGAATCCTGGTCGGCGCTCGTCCCATGGTCGCTGGATCTGTCCCAGCTGGCCAATGTTCGCACTGATCAATGTCCGTGACTGTGGCAAGCGGGGAGGAGGCGAGAGCACCAAGAGGGCGCCAGCGAAAGGAGGTGGGAGCGGAGGGAACCCAGGTGGCGGGGACAGGGTGCTCTACCCACCCGGATGTCCCCACTTTCAAATACTCGGCTAGAAGGAATACTATGGCATGTAGCAGCTACGAGCCTACTTCCAATTCCTGCGCCTGTCTCCTGACACAGTACGGCACACCCCAAACATGCTGATTCGTGCGAGGCGGGGGGGGCCCCCCTTTGTACCATCGGGCCGCGGACCACGTCTCGCAGGGCCCCCCCCCTGTGTTGAAAATACGCCTAGGGCGGATGTGGTCAGCCCAGGTGTTTAAAGCTTCTTTGCGAGTGAGGTCGCCTCTGGTAGAGTCAATGGTAATGTCCATAGACAAGCAATGCAAGGAGAATCTGGAATCAACAGCCTCACGTTCAAGATTCCACTGGGTGTCTCCTGTACGTCTCGCGCCTGATAAAAGAGTCAGTACGAATATTTCAGGTCGCTTGATACGAGCTGGGATGGGCGAGGCAGCCTCTCTTTCATGATCCTGGGGCCGAATGGGCAAAAATCGGTCCTCAAAGTACCATGTGTCCGAACCAGGCTGGGACTCCACGCGCAGTCCGACTAGGACCTCGTAAAAATTGGCGGCGGCCTCGGGACTAAAAACATAATTCTGACTATCAAAGCCTGACGGGCCTCCTCACTCAGATGGTCAATGAACAGGGTCTCGAACTCCGACTTGGGGCGAGCGGGGGGAACGCGATGAGCAGGGAAAGCGGGCCTCCACCTGCCTAGCCCCGCCCCGCGTTGGCTGGCAAGCTTGGCTGCTGCGGCTGTATTGGGACGCTTTATCATCTGCTGCTTCCTCTCTGCTGCCTCCTGGTCGTGACTGCTGTCGTGGCTGTGCACAATGCAGGAGATGGCGCATCGTGGCGAGTCCTTCGCCAAGTGCTCGATGAGTGAGGCACGACCTGCGAAACGCATACCGCAATAGTCGCACACTGTGGTGCCCCCAAGGATGCTGCTGATCGTGTGAGTAAATGATCTAAGATTCCTGACAGTGTGCTACCGTAAACCTCGGACCTGTTGGAACGCAGGATCACACCACATACACTTTTAGGACACTGGAGGGGGATCCTGCTGTCGAAGTGGATGGGTAGGGTCCGAGATAGCCTTGGGGACGCCTGCGGCATACAGCACAATAACGATGCTGTCTTCAGCAACTTGTGCCAGTGAAACTCGACGCTCATAATGTACCTGCTTGTGTACAGCTTCGTCGATGGTTGCTTTCCAAGAGGTCCCGAGACTCCGAATGAAAACTTCCCAATGTAGAAGATCATCATGCGGATCAGGGAGGTGCTGGATTTTTGGCGAGAGACCTCGAAGCCAGGCAAGATCCTGAACAACCTGGGTCATCCATGACCCCTCCGCTTCACGAAACAAGACACCCAAGAGCCCAAGTAAGTGCACGGGCCCATTGAATAGGAGGCGGCCGAAAAGGCGAAGCCTGTGCGCGCGTATGTATGTGTCGGCGTTGGCTTTGGAAACCTCCGCGAGAATGTAGCTGTTACGTGAAGCGGCGGCATCTGTCCTTGGCGCACCGAGTACAGCACGGTACATGCGAACCAGATCATCATTCAGACTAGCCAGCTGCGCCGAGGAGAGCGGAGGCCGTGTACTGGAATTATACAGCCTTCCTGAGATAAGCAAGGCATCCGCCAAGACAATCCCAATGGGTACGCGTAGATCTGTCTCCCCGAGAACCTTCCGAAGGGTCTTCCAGGACCCTGAACAACTCTGGGCTCTGTGGGCAAGCGCTGGGGCAATACTGCCGGCATTGTCTAACACCGTCCCCAAACGAGTGTAATTGGTGAACCGCGTGAAGAACAAACTGGCCGTAAACCGAACTATTGATCCCCAAGAGGCCATCCGCGTCTCTTCATAGTGCGAGCTTGGCCTTGTCCGAGCCTGCACCACGGAACTGGAAGAGCGCGGCGGACTTACCCTTGCCAGAGTGTAGTCGCATGCCTTGCCCAGCAAAAGAGTCAAAGATGATGCTGATCAGCATCGGCGCGATAGTGAGTAATGTGTGGGCTCAACCCATGAACATGAACAACGAATAATCGAAGAAGGCCATATCTAGGGAGTGCTCAGAGTATACTGCTTCTGGATGAGCTGCTTCTGAAGTGCTGCCGTTCGGACGCGCTGGATATCGTAACTCGACCCCACACTCAGAAATCAACGCTTCCTGATCAAAGCCACGAAGAACAGGTAGGGGGTTCTTGCGGATCTTCTCTCGCGAGCAATCCCCGATATGCTTGTGGTCGTGCACTGACCAGGCGGTGTCCATGCGCACCTGCAAATTGACAAATCGCGTGGTAGCTTTCAGGGCAATCTGTCTATGCGTGAGAGTTGTATCTGCAACACGTAGATGTACTAGCCACTGAGACACTTCATGACGCCTCCGAAAGCCTGCAATAATCCAAGGTACGGGAGCGCCAGGGAGCAGCCAACGCGAGCCCCAACAGAGCACCACTTACACTCGAAGATGTTGGATTGTTTGTGTCGGGGTCCTAAAGGAGCTGTAGTGCGAACCTGGAATATCTCCTGAAGTTGGAGCCAGGCCCAGTGGGCCGCACTGAAAGCTTTGAGGAGCAATGGGTTCCAAGAGTGCACTACCGACTGAGTGTCTGAGCTGACGGTGATAGTATAACTAGCCGCGTCGCCGATGGGACCAACAATAACTACCAAGAACCACCAGGAGGAGAAGGAGGAGGAGGAGGAGGAGGAGGAGGAGGAGGAGGAGACAGGAGGAGGGAGGAGGGAGGAGGGAGGAGGGAGGAGGAGGATGAGGAGGGAGGAGGGAGGAGAGGGAGGAGGGAGAGAGCCAAGCGCAGCTGTGGCGCGTTCTGCCCTCCGCGGCGGCGACGGGGCGGGCTTTTGTGCTTCTGCTGCCAGATGTGATCCTGGCCCAAGGTGTCCCTGGCCTTTGCAGGGGTGCCTGGCTGGCCTCCATAGCACCCCTCGCGAGGGGTGCCAGCGTCGCACGAAGAGCCGGGGGCACCTTGGGGCCAGGATCGGCTCTGGCAACCTCCGGTCTCGCTCGTGCCTTACCTCGCGGGCCTCATCCCGTTGCCCTTGAAACTGGCCTTCGGCGTGTGGCGGTATCCACTTTTGGCGCCAACTGAGGTAGCAGGTTGTCCGCTCCAATCTTTCCCCTCCGAGAAGACAGCTCCGACAGCCTCCGAAGTTTTGCCGACCTTGCAGGACAGGCACTACTTCGAGGCAGCCGCCACGGAGAGGTACGTCCTGCGGGGGGGCCGCCTGCGCGCCGACGCGCAGGCGAGTGGGGACGGCACTGCGGTGTCCGCCTGCGAGGCCTCGGGCGCCTGCTCGAAACCAAGAGCATTCAGGGGGGAAAGGGGGAGGGGGGAGGGGGAGGAGGAGGAGGAGGAGGAGGAGGAGGAGGAGGAGGAGGAGGAGGAGGACCAGTGTAAACCCACGAATCATCAACGATCTTGGAATACACCCACCCTCCAAGCTCCCTCTTCATAGCCAAATTGCCTGGTTGGAAAACAACCGTTTGAAGACCTGAATCATGCCAAAAGATGGTTCTCGGGATTCCAGAGCCACGGATCAATCGGACTGTGACGTCTTGACGAGCCTGAATCGTGCCATCACGCCATCCCTGGGACTTCAAAACCGCGAGCCAACGCAACTGTTGCATTATCATAGTCTTGAACTCTTCCGGAAGACCATGTCTGGTGCGTTGACCATGCGAACCCGTGAAACTCTTGCACGGTCAGAAGAAGAATGTGCGCGGCGCTAAGGCGAGAGCCACACTTTGAAAAAGGAACCGCTCTCAACCCGTCAAAGTCTTAGAATGTTTGCAACAAATATGCGCGGCACTACGGCGAGAACCATATGTTGAAAAAGGAGCCTCCCTTGACCCGTGCAACTCTTGCATTTTTGAAACAAATGTGCGCGGCGCTAATGCGAGAGCCCCATTCTGAAAACGGCCCGCCCTCTATCCATGAAGCTCTGGCAATTGTTTAAGACGAGTGTGCGCGGCGCCAAGGCGAGAGCCACATATTGAACACGACCTGCCCCCATTTGTGAAACTGTTGTCAATGTTTAAGCTCCATGGTCCTACACGGTGGGGAACTCGCAGGAGGAGGAGGAGGAGGAGGAGGAGAGGACGAGGAGGAGGAGGAGGAAGAGGAGGAGAAGGAGGAGGAGGAGGAGGAGGAGGAGAGGAGGCGGAGGAGGAGGAGGAGGAGGAGGAGGAGGAGGAGAGGAGGAGGAGAGGAGGAGGAGGAGGAGAGGAGGGAGGAGGAGGCGGAGGAGGAGGAGGAGGAGGAGGAGGAGAAGGAGGAGGAGAAGAGGAGAGGGGAGGAGGAGAGAGCGAGAACAAGGAGGTGGGGATCATGAGGAGGAGGAGGAGAGGAGGAGGAGGAGGAGGAGGAGGAGGAGGAGGAGGAGGAGGTGGAGGGGAGGAGAAGAGCGATAACAAGGAGGTGGATCATGAGGATCGAGGAGGAGGAGGACGAGGAGGAGGAGGAGGAGGAGGGTAGGAAGAGATAAGGAGGAGGAGGAGGAGGAGGAGGAGGAGGAGGAAGGAGGAGGAGGAGGAGGAGGAGGAGGAGGAGGAGAGAGCGAGAACAAGGAGGAGGAGGAGGAGGAGCAGGAGGAGGAGGAGAATGAGGAGGAGGAGGAGGAGAACGATGAGGAGGAGGAGGAGGAAGAAGAGGAGGAGGAGGAGGAGGAGAACGAGAACAAGGAGGAGGACAGGGAGCTTGATCCCCTCACCTTCGAGTGATCGAAGGTTTGACATCTTGCCATCGGCGGGAGCTGTCTGAGCGTCCGCGGAGTCCTCTGGAGGTGACGCGAGGGCGGCTTCGTCAGTGGAGGCTGGCGGAAGGTCAGCGGACGCTGGCGGATGCAAAGGACGCTTCTCCAATACGTGGATTCAGATATTCCCGAGCAAGCCATGTGAGCCATATCAAAATTTTAAGGCAATTGTATGCTCTCCTTCTCGGTGATGATTTTGTATGTGTTGGTGGCAGAGGTCCGGGGGAGCGGACACCGATTCTTCAAACTGGCGAATGGGGGTACTGGGCACGTGGGCGATGGCCAGCATCACCTCCAGTGCAGTTTGAGCAGGGTCTGTTGTCCCTTCTGGTAGCGGCTGCCGCTCAGCCGCTTCAGCCTCATGACAGGCGATTCAGATTCCTGACAGCTTCTCCTGTTGGGCAGACTCCCTCAACGGTAGCGTCCTCCTGCCAGCTTCGCTCAGAGGTTCGAGAATGAATAGCCAGCAGAGCTTCACCCTATCTCCGACCGCAGGCTGGCGCACCCAACTTCGTTGTCAGACTTCAAGCTTCTACATCGAGCCCCGCGGCCGACTGACTCAACAATCGAGTGTCGAACCCGACATTGAATTGTTGAGTTTTAGTTCAAGATTGAAGCTTTAACTTTTGCACTGAATTTGTACTTTCGCCGCCCACCATAGAGCTGGCGGGCGAGCGGGCTGGTCTGATCCCATTGGGCGGGTGGGGCGGGCGGGACATTCATGGAATATTCCGAGCCGGCGAGGGGGCGAACCTTAACGGACGGATTACAGGTTCCGGCAGCTCCATCGTGAAGGTCGACTTTTTTCCCAACCCTCCTGTGTTGGGTTCTCGTTTTGAATAGAGCAGTGTGGTCGCGCCGTCCTTCCTCCTCCTCCCCTCTCCTCCCCTCCTCCTTCTCTCCTGTTTCCTCTGTTCCCCTCTCCTCTTCTCTCGTGCCGCCGGGCTGCGATCTGCGCAACTGCCGCCACTTTCGTGGGCTCCTGGGAGGCCCAGCGGAGGTACGTCCCACGCGGACCACCTCGGTACCTCGCCGCCCCCTGGGGGGCTTGCGATCTGGGCAACTGTCGCCACTTTCGTGGGCTCCTGGGAGGCCCAGCGGAGGTACGTCCCACGCGGATCACCTCGGTACTTCGCCGCCCCCTGGGAGGCTTGCAACTGTCGCCACTTTCGTGGGCTCCTGGGAGGCGGAGGTGCTCCTGCTTATCCTCGAGGCCGCGACTTTTGCTTCCACTTTTGGGTTCGCTGCCGCGCCCTTTTGTCTCCACTTTTAGGTGAGTCTCCACCCCCGTTATGCACCTCATGCATTTGCCTCTTTCAGCGCAGCGCGTTGCTGAGTTAAACCGATGTTCTGTTTTAGCCCTCGCCGCCCCCCGCTTGTGTGTTTCTTTCAACGACCTTGTGCTTCCATTTTTGTATGTTTGCTGTTCCTCTTCTTGATGCTCTCTTCTGATTTCACTCCTGAGTGTTCTTCTTGCGCACTGCGGGTCCTTCAGAATGCCAGTCAGCATTGAGTGGTCCTGAAGATAAACGCCACGTGTATACAAAAGGAATGGGTACGTCGCAGGGTAATTAGTTTTTGCGGCTCCGTAGTCCAGACTTCGGTGTTCATCTCCAGGTGTGGGTTGCGCTGACGCTTTCTCCAGGGGTGGCGTCGGGGGGAGACGTCCCAGGGCCCCTGGGCCATCCCTTCCTCCTCGATGCCCCTCCTCTTACCAAGGTCCCTCTCCTCCTCCTCCTTCTCCTCCTCCTCCTCCTCCTCCTCGATCCTCCTCTCCTCCTCCTCCTCCTCTCCTCCTCGATCCTCCTCCTCCTCCTCCGCCTCCTCCTCCTCCTCCTCCTCCTCCTCCTCCTCCTCCTCGATCCTCCTCCTCCTCCTCGATCCTCCTCCTCCTCCTCCTCCTTCTCCTCCTCGATCCTCCTCCACCTCGGGCGTGGCTGCTGTCGCTGCTGTGCTCCCCGCAGGCGCACGGCAGCGCGGGGACGGGCCGTGGCGCGGCGGGGCTCCAGGGCCTCACCGCCAAGCAGGCCAGGGACCTGTACCAGGACATCTCCCGCAGGCTGAAGGAGTCAGGCGATGGGAAAAACGGGTCGTGGAGGAGGAGGAGGAGGAGGAGGAGGAGGAGGAGGAGGAGGAGGAGGAGGAGGAGGAGGAGGAGGAGGAGGAGGAGGAGGAGGAGGAGGAGGAGGGAGGGGAGGGAGGAGGGAGGAGGAGGGAGGAGGAGGAGGAGGAGGGCGATTGGAAAACATGGACTACGGGGGCGTGGATGAGCGACGGGTCCCGTTTCCATGGGAAATCGCGGATCCCCGCCGCCGAGCGAGGCGGCGCCGGCCGCATTTTGTGGTGTCCATGGGTTCGACGACCGCGCGCCGGATCCATGGATCGCTAATCCGTCTTTGCGCGCCCCCGAAGGAGGGCCAGAGGAACAAGACTCTGACAGACAGCGACATGTGGGCGATGCTCAGGGAGCTCGAGGAGCTCAAGCGTCGGCTTGAGGCGTGACTCCCGCGCGGTGAGCACCAGGCGGCTCCATTCTCCTCGGCTCGAGGCCTGAGAGGGGCGCCAGGCCGCAGAGGTTCGCATCACAGGTGTCGCGACGTCAACACCCTTTCCATCTGCTCCCTCTATCTTGTTTGTTGCGACACGCCGCCAGGACGGTCCGACATTCGATTCGGCCGATTTTTGGCTCTCGGGGGCCCTCCTCGGGTCCTTGTTGGATCTTCCCGTGGCGCCTCGGGGCCATCTTGGCGCCATCTTGGGGCCTCTCGGAGCAATCGTGGAGCCAACTTCATGTATAGCCGAACTATGTGCGATAGCGAGCTTGTCCCCTCCACTTCCCCTCCCTGTTGGAGTGGGTTCTGGACAGAGCGCCCTCTCCATCCCCGCAGGCTTTTTCGTCAGACGTGCCAGTGGGCTCAACTGCAAAACTTGCGAGCATCCTGGATGGGGTCGGTCTGTGATCCCAGTGCAGCTCTCGGTTTTCGTTGCATGGAGCTTTCACGCTGAGTTTTCCAGCATGTTGTGCGGTGGCGGGCCCACGAGCCCCAAACGGGCTCCTCGAAAGTTGGACCTACGACTTGGCCACCCGTCCGCAGAAGCAGTGTCAGCGCGCAGAGGACTGAGGTGGGAGGGAGCGAACGGGGGAGCAAGGTACACGAGGGGATGCGGATCTGGAGAAGGATGATGAGGAGGAGGAGTCAACCTTGCCACAGCGACTTGATACCGGACCTCCACACAACCCAACGCGGTGCACAGCACTCCCGGCCGTTCGGGAGCTTCTCCGCCAGTGCTTGAGCCGAAACGTTGCTGATCCGAACCTCACGCTGACCGTTCTCGGAGGAGACTTCAATTGGGTCCCCGATTCTGCGGACCGACGGTCTTGCAGCGAGGCTAGCTGTACCGGCCACCGGGATCGCGGCGAAGAAAGCCACTTCCAAGCGGTTTTGGGACAGCGGTTCCAGCTGCACGAAATGCACCAATCTCCCATGACTTGCGCGTCTACCTGCTCCCGCTTTCGCTTACACCGCATTTGTTGCAACCAGCACGTGGTCGAACAACTGGACAGGGAAGTCAAAGCCATTGCCTTGGAATGGAAGCCGCATCTTTCGGACCACCTGGCGGTCCTCTTCTGCCGCTGTCTGCCGCACCGGCTCCCTCAGTGAGATTCAGAGTGCCACCTCACCGACGATCAGATCCATCATGTCGACTTCGCCAGCCAGGTGCGGATCGAATACAGCGACCACTTGGTGCAACGGCCCAACGCATCTGGCATCGCCAAGCTGCAGATGCTGACAGAGGCAATGAAGCATGCTGGGCACTTCGCCGTCACAGCTCCTGGTAGCCGTGGACGAGGCGATCCTATTGGAAGACCGCCTGGGGGTTACTATGCGTTTTCTCCAGGCTGCCGAGACGGGCCCCGTGGGCATGTTCACAACACGCTTGATCCGCTATCCACGACTACAGGAGCTGATACCCAACCCGTACGACACCAAGCATCACACCACGCGGGGCCTTCAAGCAGTACGCGACCACGCCGTATAATTGGCCCGCGAACACAGTCTGGACGAGCTTGGCAAGGCTATAGCCAGGAGGCCAATGACGGCAACGAACACATAGCGCACCGAAGACGACAGCGCGCGATGCAGCTACTCCATCGGTTGCTTCCCGGCCGGTCAGGGGGTATAGGTGCTGTCCGATCGGCTTCTGGAGAACACTTGACAGACCCCGCCTTCATGGCGGAGGCGCTTGGCGCACACTGGAGCAACGTATTCGCGGCCAGGGGTGTGAACGCGGACCTCCTGAGCGAACGGTTGGCTGAAGATGCGGCGCATCGGGCGGAACATGGTCCACTCCATGATGGCCTACACCAGCTTCGGCTTCAAAAATGGCACATCAGGAAGGCGATCAAGACGTCGAACAACTCCGCCCCAGGCCCCGATGGCATACCCTACGCCGCCTGGCGCCGGGTTGAGACATCGGCCGTAGACGATCTCCACGACGCTTTCGTGGAGTTCTGCGCAGGCGAAGCTCTGGACAGATTGGCGACCGAGTGCCCAGACTTCGACGCGAGCGTCCTCATCTTCCTCCCGAGGAAGACCATCGGCACGACGGAACACGGGGAGGACCTGCTCGACCCAGATGACGTTCGGTCACTGAACATAACAAACAGTGGCAATAGGCTGCTCGCCAGCGCGTGGCGCCTCCTGCTCGAGCCTGCACTAGGACCACTCATCGCTGGGGAGCAGCGGGGATTCATCCAGTGGCGTTTCATGGTGAACAACTTCCTCGACGTAGACGAAGCGATGCTCTCAACCGCGGCGGCCGGGGACGGAGGCATCGCGTTTTTCTTCCATTTCGCGGCAGCGTTTCCGTCGATCGAGCACCAACTCTTCATGGAGTTCTTCCGCGGCCTTTGCTGGCCATCTTGGCTCGTCAACTTCGCGCTGATCTTGTACCAAGACAATCACTGCGAGGCGGGGCTCGCCTGCGCTCGGTTTCCTGGCTTCTCGCTTATTCGTGAAATTCGCCAAGGCTGCCCACTTTCACCCCTGCTCCATGCTGCATGCTCAGACCTTCTCCTCCGACGCTTGAGGCGACGCTTTCCTACGGCAGTGAACCAGGCTTTCATCGCGAAGACCGCGTTGGTGCTGACAGGCCCGCTTGACGCAGACACCGTGCGTGCCATTTTTCGCGAGTGCGCACCTAGTTGGGGCGGGATGGTCATCGCCACAGCGGCTAAATATCTGGGGGTGTATCTTGGGCCTGGGCGGAATCAGTCATCGTGGTACCCCCCTCAGCAAGTACATCAACCGCGCCACGCAATGGGGCCGAGTGGGCGTCGGGCTGCTTTTGAGCCTCAAGGCATACAAGAAATTTGTCGCATCGGTGCTGCACTCCGTCGGTCAGTTCGAGAACTTGCCAGAGACATTCTTGGAGACCGAAGCCTTTGCCTGTCGCCGCCTGTTGCTTGGGCCCTGCGATTGGATGATACAGACGCACTGAAGGAGCTCACCAGCGTGGGCTTCCCAGATGAGCTTCCCGACGTTGTCATCGTAATGACCGCCGTCAAGGCCAGAGTGGTTCAGCACGAGACTGGCGGTGCTCTTCGTATTCTTCGAGCGGGCCCTGAAGTTGAAGCAGCTCTCAAGCAATTCCACTTCCGTCTCGTTACGTTGTCTTGGCTGTATCCACGCGTGGCGAGACAGCAGCTTTCTGTGCAATCTTAGTGCAGCGGCCTTGCATTTCAGGCTGTCCAGGACGCGGCGCCTGGGGACGAACGATGATTCAGACAAACAGTCTGGCAGAGGTTCGCGACCCAGCCGCTCGTGGCACATCGCCCCGGCCCTGCTGGTGCACGTGTCTAGGCGATGCTTCAGTGCTTCATCGAAAGCTGTCGCGTTGGCCCATCGTCCTGCTCCCGCGGTTACGCCTCGAACCCGCTGTGACTACGCTTCAGCGCGTGGGTCGCTTCTGCCAGCCGCGAGTGTGGGCAGCAGTGCTGCGACTGTGGTGCAATGGGTGGTGCGCCAGCTCGCGTTTCGGAGGAAGTGCCCCCCTGCCGATTCGGCTGCAACGATGGCAAGGACAGTATCTCCCACTTGGCCTTTTGCCCAGCGGTACGGATGCTCTTCGGGGATCTTGTGCCCGCTGGCAGTTCGTCCTTGGGAAATTTTCTGCACATCCGCGGCCCCCAGAACAGCGATGACGTCACCCAGCGCTGGGCTGTCGCGGTCTACGCCTTGAGCCGCACCTACGATGCGCGGGGTGCCACTAGCGCCTCGAGACAGCCGACGTGGAGGGGCCTTCCTGGAGTATCTCCGCGAGGGCTGTCGCGGCACGGAGGTGTAATTGGAAGGGATCTTCACCGAGAGTTGACAGCAGTTTTCCACCAGCGCTTATGAGAACATGTAGATTGTTACAGAGCGCGTTCCCGGAAGGCTCTGCCGGAACCCGCTGAGGATGCGACGCAAAACGTTCCGGAAAGGCTTTGCCGCAAGGTTCTGGGAACAGGTTGTTTCCATGTAGTTTTTCTTACCCAGCTTCCTCCGCCGCGCCTCGTTCTCCTCCTGCGTTCTGGACTTCTTTGGTTAGCGCCCTCCTTTGCATGCTCTCTAGGTCGCACTCTGGTTTTAAATGTCTGGGTGATTATTTTCACCACGGGCCTGCTCGACACCCTCGTGTGTGATGCTAATCAGTGAGTTTCAGGCCTGATTCGCTTGTAGTGTGCGCTTGTTTCTTCTTCCTTCGCCCTCTTCGTCCTTCTTCCTCCTCCTCCTCCTTTTTCTCCTACTTCTCTTGCCCCGAGTTGCGTACTTGCAGCAAAGTGTCCGTTGTCGTGTGGCAGTCGGCGATTTGCCTGTGGACTATCAGTGTAATGTTTGCCTTGGGCGCTGCCCATGGCAAAAAGAGGCAGAAAGTATATTTTGACGTTGACCCTGTAGGATAATCCACAGGTGCCGCAGTAAGCTCTCTTTTCGTCCGCCGTGAGGCTTCTTAAGACAGTTGTTTCGTTTTCCTTGGGCGCGCGCCGAGGACATGTTAGGTTTTTCCCTTGATGTCCGCATCTGAGATGATTCAGGTGGAGCAACGAACACATCCCAGCGCGGAATGCCTGATACTCGTGCTGCAGATTCTCCAGTGTTCGTGTGGTCTATTTTGTGCGAGCGTGGAGCGATTCGCAGCCTCGTGTGGGTCGCCCTTGCTGGCGGATTGTGGCGACCGTAAGAGAGCGAGAGAAAGAGAGAAAGAGAGAGAGAGAGACACAGAGAGAGAGAGAGAGAAGGCGATGGTGCGTTCATGATGGCAGTGGACTTAAACAAATTATCCCAGTGCGACCCTACCTCGGAGTTGGAGCCTTTAGGAAAACAACATTCGTAGGAGCGGTAAACGCCGTCCTCCTCCTCTCCTCATCGTCGTAGTTGTAGCAGTAGCGGTAGTAGTAGTAGTAGCAGTAGTAGTAATAGTAGTAGTAGTAGTAGTAGTAGTATTAGTAGTAGTAGCAGTAGTAGCAGTAGTAGTAGTAATAGTAGTAGTAGTAGTAGTAGTAGTAGTAGTAGTAGT